ATTAAGCACCTGCTTGGTACAAGACTGTGGGCTAGATTGTGAGAATACAAAGACAAAGATGAAATAGTGCCTTTAAGAAGATTATATTATTTTAGGAGACTATAATTTGTCCTGTAAATGTAGGAAAACTTGAGGAGAGGAGAGAACATGAACAGTTGGGAGGCTCAGGAAAGGCTTTATCGTGGTACTTGAGCTGAGCCTTGAAAGAACCTACAGATTCTAAGGCAGAGATGAAGAAAGAATACTTATTCAGGCATGCAGTCTAACTTGTTCAAAAGTCTGGAGGTGGGAAATAGGAAGTCAAATTTAGGGAATAGCTGGCAGGCTAGTTTAACTAGAACATAAGGTGTGTGAAGATAAAGGAGTAACATTTATTTGGAAAAGAAGGTGGCAACCAAATTGTGGAGGACATTAAGTGCAAGCTTGAGGAGGTTTTTTTTGCTGTTTTTGTTTTGTTTTTGTTTTTTGCTTTTTGGTGAGGCAATAGGGGTTAAATGACTTGCCCAGGGTCACGTAGTCTGAGGTTGGATTTAAACTTGGGTCTTCCTAACTCCAAGGCCAGAGCTCTATTCACTGTGCCGCCTAGCTGTCCCTAAGCTTGAGAAGTTTTGATTTTTTCCTAGAGGTAGTAGGGAGTCACTACTGATTTTTAATAGGGGAATAACACACTGGGCCACACGGACTACACATATACCATATTTATTATACCATTTCTAGACCCTCTTATAGAATACTCCACAAGTCCATATTACCCCATCCAGAACCTTAAGATGGTCTAGAAATGGTATAAGGAATATGGTATATGTGTAGTCTGTGTGGCCCAGTGTGTCTTTGGGAATGTTAGTTTAGAAGCCCTGTGGATGATGGTTTGGAGAGGCGAAAAACCAGAAGCAGGGGTCAGAGCAATTAGGGGGCTGTTGTAATGGTCAATGTGAGAGGGGATGAGGCTGTGAACTAGGGTAATGGTCTTGTGAAAAGAGAAGGGTGTAGATATGAGAGATGAAGAGGGAGAAGAAGACAAAACTTGGTGACTGATAGGATATGTTTATGTGGGTGGGGAGGGAGAGAATTTCCAGGATGAACAGTTG